ATGTTAATGAAACTGCTCTAAAAACTAGATGTGAGCCGGGCTCGGTGGCTCAGCCTATGATCCCGCGCTTTTGGGAGGCTGAGGTGAGTGGATTGCCTGAGCCCGCGGGTTCGAGACCCGCCTGGGCAGCGAGACCTCATCTCTACAATAAATCAAAAAGTCAGCCGGGTGTGGTAGCGCATGCCTGTAATTCTGGCTACTTGGAAGGCTGAGGCGGAAGGATCGCCAGAGCCCAGCAGGTCGAGGCTGCAGTGGCTGGGAGCAGCCACTGCACTCCAGTCTGGGCGACAGTGAGACTCCAACTCAAAAAAAAAAAAAAAAAAACAACTAGATGTGGCTTCTCTGCACAGCTATACCAGAGTAGGTTGGGAATTGTCCTTATTTGAAGCAGATGTGGCTCAGCCTAAATTTGATATACCATCCTGGCACCCCACACACCATTCCCATAGAGGAATGTGGAGATAAATAGGGACAGTTTTCACTGGGTGAAATGAAACATGGAGCAGTGGTAAGAGAGAGTCCCTGGACACACAGAAATGTTTCAACCAGTGTGACACAGTGAAGTAGGCTAGTAGGAATGAGCTGTGGATGGATCTGCCACCAGTTTGAGATGGACTTTTTTTTCAGTACAAGTGTTAAGATAAGTCATCCTTGATTAATCTAATGGTTTATGTGTTCAGTGTTGGGAAGACTTTTTGGTTGTATATTGGTCTATTCAGAACATAAAGGACTGAACTAGAAAGAGTAATAACTTTGCAGTGAGTTCCCCTGTAACTTTCTTTCTTTTTTTTTTTTTTTTTGAGTTTTGATTTATTGTAGAGATGAGGTCTCACCAAGTTGCCCAGACAGGTCTCGAACCCATGGCCTCAGGCAATTCACTCACCTCGGCCTCCCAAAACATGGGATTACAGACTGAGCCACTGAGCCCAACCTAACTTTCTGTTCAGTCCTCAAGTTGTGGAAAGTGCATCTTTCACAGTTAAGAGGATTTTTGCTGTCTCCATACTATTGGTTTTTTGTTTGGATTTTTGTTTTTTGAGTTGGAGTCTCACTCTATTGCCCAGACTGGAATGCATGGCACGCTCACGACTACCGCAACCTCAACCTGCTAGGCTCAGGCAATCCTTCTGCCTCAGCCTTCCAAGTAGCTGAAACTACAGGCACGTACCACCACACCCAGCTAATTTTTAAAAATTTATTGTATAGCCGGGCGTAGTAGCACATGCCTGTAGTTCCAGCTACTTGGAAGGCTGAGGCGAAAGGATCACCGGAACCCAGCAGGTTGAGGCTGCGGTGGCTGGGAGCGGGCACTGCACTCCAGTCTGAGCAACAGAGTGAGACACTAACTCAAAAAAAAAATTTATTGTAGAGGCAAGGTCTCACCAAGTTGCTGAGACTGGTCTCGAACCCATGGACTCAGGCACTCTTCTCGTCTCAGCCTCCCAAAGTACTGGGATTACAGGCTTATGCCACTGTGCCTGGCCTATACTATTGTTAATATGACATTTAATATAGTAGAAGAGAGACTGAGCTTATGAGATGCAATTGTTCATTGATGCAGAAGAGCCATTTGTTAAGTTTTTTGTTTTTGAGTTAGTCTCTGTCATCCAGGCTGGAGTGCAGTGGCACACTCACAGCTACTGCAGCCTCAACCTGCTAGGTTCAGGTGATCCTTCCGCCTCAACCTTCCAAGTAGCTGGAACTACAGGTATGCACCACCACACCTGGCTAATTTTTTTTATTTATTGTAGAGTTAAGGTCTCGCCATGTTGCCCAGGCTGGTCTCAAACCCGGGGTCTCAGGCAATCTCACCTCTGCCTCCCAAAGGCTGGGATTATAGGCGTGTGCTACCGCGCCCCACCATTTGTTAAGTTTTTAGAATAGAGTGGAACCAACCTCTTTAACAGGAAGGTAGTACTAATATCTTAACACTTGAGTTACAGTAATTTTTTTTACTTCAATTTTTAATTTTTTTGTAGATAAGCAGTCTCACTATGTTGTCAGGTTGGTCTCAAACTCCTGGCCTCAAGCAGACTCCCACTTCACCCTCACAAAGTCCTGGGATTACAGGCATGAGCCATTGCACTGGGTTTACAGTTAAGTTATAGTAATTGATGTCTACTGTATATAGTAGTAAATGTTTCAGGGAAGAAATTGATTAATAGGGAATCTAAATCTCTGCTAAAATGAAATTGAAACAGGAATTCTGGTACATTTGTGTGCCTCAAGGGGTTTGGGAAAAGATTACATATCAGAAACCTTTCTAAAATTTATAAATGTGCATTACAGTAATATGAAAAAAAGGTAATAGTAAAGACCATAAACAAATTTCCATACACCCTAGCAATCCCATTCCTAGGTATTTACCCAAGTGAAGTAAAAACTTATTTTCAGCTGGGCTCAGCCTGTAATCCCGCGCCTTTGGGAGGCTGAGGTGAGTGGATTGCCTGAGCCCGTGGGTTCGAGACCCGCCTGGGCAGCGAGACCTCATCTCTACAATAAATCAAAAAAATCAGCCGGGTGTGGTAGCGCATGCCTGTAATTCCGGCTACTTGGAAGGCTGAGGCGGAAGGATCGCCGGAGCCCAGCAAGTCGAGGCTGCGGTGACCGGGAGCGGCCACTGCACTCCAGTCTGGGCGACAGAGTGAGACTCCAACTCAAAAAAAACCAAAAAACAAAAAACTTATTTTCACCTAGAAACTTGTAGGTTAACATAACATTGCCCCCAAATGGAAACAACCCCAATGTTTTTAGCTGGTGAATGGTTTAACAAACTGTGGTTATATCCATGCAATGGAATACTAGTTAGCAGTAAACAGGAACAAACTTACAGTTGCAACATGGATGAATCTCACATGCATTGTGCCAAATGAAAGAAGCCAGACTCAAATGACTACAGACAGTACGATTTCATCTATATTATGTTCTGTAATAGGCAGATCTATAGGGACAGAAAATGGATTTGTGGTTGCCAGAGGATGGGAGAAGGGAATTTAGGAGGGATGATGGAACTGTCCTGTATCTTGACTGTGGTAGTGCTTAAACTGTATGTACTTGTTGAACTCATAGAACTACACATTAGAAAGGATAAAAGATACTATATGTAAATTATACCTCAAATTTTAAAAAGACCATACACACAAATATTGCTATAATTGCATTTGGTATGAAAGAGTAAAGTATAACTTGAGTCTTTTCAGAAAGTTAGTATGCTAGCTCTGTCTAATGAAATAAGAAGAGTAACATTTCATGACTGCTTATGAACAAGAGAGAGTGTCAACTGTTTAATCTGAGAAGGTCATTTCTCATTCTGGCCAAGGAAGGAGGTTATACTCCTAAAATAGAAAGAGACTGGAAGAAGAAAACACATACTTTGTAATAGTCTATTATTTAAAAATTTGTCTTGGCACTTGATCTGTAATTGTATAGCACCATCATCATCAAGAAATACTGCTACTAATATTTATTAGCTGTGTTTTCTCTCTCTTGGCAGAAGGGAAAAATGTTTTAGACTAGTAAACCATGACTCAATTAGGAACCAGGATTCTGTCTGCCCAGGTTTGAATCTTGGCTCTATCTTGTACTAGCTGTGTTACTAGGTTAAGTTACACAGCTTGGGTAATTTACTTAACCACTTTACTACTCCTTAGTTTCTTTGTCTTTAGACAGAGATGATAATGGTAAAGGTTGTTGCAAAGCTTAAATGTCAGATATTTGGGAAAGTGCCTGATGTCTAGTAAGTACAGTATAGTTGTGGCTGGTATTAACAGAAAGCAGAGTAAGTAACCTTTTGTTGTGTTTTGAGTGACTAGACTGAGCTGGAGAGATAGATGTAAAGGGAGAAGGAAGTTGTGTGATAGGGCAAATCCCAAGTGTAGCTGTGGCTTACTTACTGGTACTTCCTTTCCCCCTCTAGTCTCACTTCAATCACCAGGACAAGACAGAGGCAGTGAATGGGAGTAGAGTATAAGGGTTGTCAAATTAAGACTCTCGTGTGGCTAGGCGCAGTGGCTACGCCTATAATCCCAGCACTTTGGGAGCTGAGGTAAGAGGATTGCCTGGGCCTACAAGTTCGAGACCAGCCTGGGCAACTTGGAGAGACCTCATCTCTACAATTAAAAAAAAAAAAAAAAAAAAAAGAGTCTTGTGTAGGCCGGTCACGGTGGCTCACTACTATCCCAGCACTTTGGGAGGCACAGGTGAGAGGTATGCCTGAGCCCACAGGTTCGAGACCACCTGGGCAACTTGGCAAGACCTTATCTCTACAATAAATCAAAAATTTAGATGGCCATGGTGGCACGTGCCTGTGGTTCCAGCTATTTAGAAGGCTGAGGCAGAAGGATCACCTGAGCCCAGCAGGTTGAGCCTGTGGTGGCCGTGAGCGTGCCACTGCACTCCAGCCTGGGTGACAGAGTGAGAGACTCCACCTCAAAAAAAAAAAAAAAAAAAAAAAAAAGGATTCTGGTGTAGGTGTAGTGGCCAGCAGCACCCTTACTGCTTGTTGTCAGAACCTGGATTAAATACTGGAAATACACACTTTTTTTTCTGACTTAAGCATTCAAAATATTAAAAAGACCTCAGAGGTTTATAGTTTTTTAGCTTATTCACAATGTTCCCACAGATGCCAGTTTTACCATAAAATACAATAAAAGGGACGCTTGAACTGTTAGTTAGCTATACCAGTTAAAACAGTGAGCAAATTACCTTTGTAAATATGGTTCTTGTCAATCCCTTAGAATATATTTGTTGTTTAGGGGAGGGATCAGTGACAATTTGAGGGCCTCCAGTTCAGTTTTTCAGTTACTTTTTCATTTCAGGCATACACTTCCCATTAATTAAGGAGGCACAGATTTTGAAAATACTTCTTTAGCTCCTTGGCATACTGCCAATCTAATACGTTCGTGTGGTAGAAGTCTCCATGATGATGTCCTTCAGTTGAAAGCACAAGGATGTAAAAGAGGGCTAGACAGGGTAGGCATTTTATTATTCTTAGATATTTTACTGATGTAACTATTTCTGCCCTATTAGGAGCTCTTGTCCCTGGCAAAGCGGAAGCGCAGTGACTCTGAGGAGAAGGAGCCACCTGTGAGTCAGCCTGCGGCCTCGTCAGACTCTGAGACGTCCGACAGTGATGATGAGGTGGGTGTGGAAGGGCTAGAACTGTTAGATGTTTAAGGGTTCTCAAGATGGTGACTCCTGTTGGTCTGTTTCCTCAAACTGAGGCTTAGCAGCCTAAGATCTACAAAAACTTGTCAGGGAAAGAAAATTGTGTAAGGAAAGCTTTTGAATGTCGTTTTCATTGTACTGCTTGTTGCCTAATGGGTCCCTCTACAGGGCATTTGTAGCCATTCTTTTTTTCTTTTTTTCCTCTTGCTTTTTTTTTTTTTTTTTAATTGATTGCCCAGGCTGATCTCAAACTAATGGGCTCAGGCAGTCCTCTTGCCTCCGCCTCCCAAAGTGCTGGGATTACAGATGTGAGCCACTGCGTCTGGCTGTAGGCATTCTTTAGCCTTTTTTTTAGCCTTATTGCAGAAGTGATACAAGTCATTAGTCCTCATCTTTTTTCTGTTTTAGTCTTTTTTTTTTTTTTTTAGTTGGAGTCTCACTCTGTCGCCCAGACTGG